TTTATTTTTGTAATTTGTCGGCATTTTCTTTTCTGATGAAACAGAAAAACCTCATCATTTGTTTCAAATATTTATTTTGTTCTCTTTTTTTTTTTTTTTGGTTCTTTTTTTTTTGATTTTAATATTGTTGTTAAACAGACCATTTTGGTGGGCAACATTCACTTAATTTTAAACATTTATTTATTTATTCTTCTATTTCCTGAAATATTGTTGTAATCGTTTATTTCAAATTTTTATCTCAATAAATTTACGCATCTTTAAAATTATGCCATTATATGGGTGTTTATTCCCTGTTGGCGTTATTCAGTGGTATTTAAATGCGATACCACATAAGTACAGTGCCAAAAAAGAGAAGGTGAAAGGCAAGAAGGCAAAAAAAAAAAAAAAAGAAGGATTCTGTTATTGCTGTTTTCTAATCTTTGATATATAGCAGGGAATTTTTTTTTTTTTTTTGAAATTTTCTTCTGCCTTATGTATTCAAAAAAAAAAAAATTTTTTTTTCTTTTAATTTTCAATTTTTACTTGTTAAGGGTATGAAAATCATGGTCAAACAACTTTTTTTTTTTCATTATCAAAAGCAAAAACCTTTTCAATTACAGTGCTGATAAAAGTCAAGAAAATATTCTGTATAAAAAAAATTATGCTTATTTTCATCTGTTAAATCACTGCAAATCTGATAGACGATGACAAAGCTTTGTTAAAATTCGTGGCTTATAAAGGTCGGTCATCAACTGTAATCAGATGCAAAAATTTAAATATAGAGCTGTTGTTTCTTTTTCGTTGTAGGACTCCAAGACTTATTATTGTAGCCTTATAGCTGCTTATTAGCAATGTTATGTTTGAAGCTTTTTCTGAGTTGTTGTTTAAGCAGTCTAATGTAACAACAGTATACTTTTTTTCTTTTGATTACTACAGTTCAACAGAATGAAATTTTGTAAATTTTTTAGAATTTAAATTAATATTGTTTGATTAGTAGAAACAGTTTATCGGGGATACGATTAGTAAATTTTTAAGCTCTTAACATCAATTTTTTTCCACTATTAAGCTTTGAAAAAAAAAAAAACAAATTCTTCAAGCTCAAGATGCATCTGAAACTTGTCTGATACCATTACTGCAGATTTTTTTTTTATTGCTACTTTTGTTCAGTAATTGTTTTACTTTTTTCTTTTTTATTCTGTAACTACTAAAATCCACTTTTTTTTTTTTTTTTTTTTTTTTTTTTTTTTTTT